CATTTATTGAGATACTAATCCGTCGCTCAAATGCCAAAAATAATAACATTATTACCCGAGAAATGACTGAAGAAAACAGCAGAAAGTTTTTAAGACAAGTCTACTCAAAGACATTGGTTATCAGTTCGTGTAAATAATTTAAAAAATTAACAATAATATTTAGTAATATCTTTTAGTTTTGTGTATTTTACTTAAAATTTCTGCATAATATATACATAAGTTAGTATATTATTTGATTCTTGTTATAGTAGTTATGTTTTGAATAAAAATTATTAAATTATTGTTTGACCAGTAATATAAAACTGATGGAAAGTGGCAAACAATTCCTCTTTTATCATATCCTACATCTTCTCATTCATACCCCAAAAAACTATTTGCATGTGATTTCATTTATTGCAACAAATAGTTCAAAATTAAATTCAATTGTTTCTAACGCTAAATTTTATAAATGCCATTTCTGTCACAATTACAATATAGCAATTGTATCCATTTGTTATGGATTTAAGTTAATTATTAATTGTATGATAAATGCAACAATCATTTATATCATTATCTAAAAAATATTTTGTTAAAACTAATAATGTTATAGAAATTAATGCTGTTTTTTATTAACCAATAATAAAAATACAAATTCTGTTTGTTTTGTTATCATCTATTAATATTTCTAAAAATTCATTTAAAAGCTTGACTTTTATAAATAAATTTAACAATCAATTAACAAAATTTTTGTAATTATAATCTTTACAGTTATATTTCAAAATTTTAATCAATAGTAAAAAGTGGACACGACTTGGAATGTATTAGTAGTGGCAGTGAATGGACTGATGTGTCCCAAAATATTCTTGTGGTCACCGAAATATCTGATCCGATATTTACCATTCTGTGCGTTCGCCGGTATATTCCATATGACATCCACTTCACTATATCCTAACACAGCGTTAGTTCTTCTCCACACAAATCTGAATTATTGTATAACAAAGAGATTAATATTAATAGTTATAATATAAACAATAGTTTGCATTATTTTAGAAAATCCTACTTGGTTTCCCAGTTGGCATCGGTTGCCATCACATCCCAGTCTTTGTTGTTTTCATTAAGTTTCTCGACCGTCAAATAAGTTGAGTCCAGTTTTGCGTTATTGCGCGGATGTGCGCCAACGAATGTCACTTTAACCTCACTTTCTTTATGGTAAGTATCCTTTGGATTAGTTAACACATCCCCTATTTTTAAACCAATTGATTATTAAACTAAATAATTATATTTATTTAGATCTAAATATAAATCTAACCGAATTTGTGGCCGATCTTGGGTGCGTCCAAAACCACTCCTGGTTTTAGTGTTATTTCATCTTTTAGTAAATTGGGAAACACAGGTCCGGGCGTTACTCGAGTCTGTTTGGCCATATTGTTGGCCAAATAAGTGAATTGCTGTATATATGCCTGAAGAGTGTGGGGGCCATACATAGTGGAACCGCCTTCGTATCGTTGCATTTGATATTCTTCATAAGTGGCGATATAATTGCTGTAAGTGTTGGCCAGACCCGAGAGGGTCACCTTTACCTTCTGGCCGTTATCGGCAAACGCCTTAGTGATAGCGTCGCGCATACGGCGACCGGACATTGTAGTGAACTCTCCGGGCAGACCCGCTATCACCACATCTCCGATCCGCAACAGTTGGGTTGGCATCAGATTCGGCGCCCACTGGTAGGGGAAAGTCATTTCGCCGACCGGTAATAGTATGGCTTTCGGACTCTGACAGTCAGTGATCTCTTTGGTCGGTGTTGTGATCAGATTGCGGACAAAGTCCCAGAACTTGGGCTCTTCGCCGACGTGTGTCCCCTGTTGGAACTGTTCAAAATAGGCACGATTAGTTATCATGCATATTTTTGTTAAATTGCTATCATATATGGTATAACACATACCATTGAAGCCCCCTCTCCATCAGTAGTTCCGGCACCAAAAGAATAACCTAAAGCGGGTTTACACGTTTTCACTGTCTTATTGTCGGACAGTTTGACCTCATAGTTAGACATATCGATGTTTTGGTAAATGTATTGAATCGGACCCTTCAGTTTGGTCTGGGAGTTGCCCTCAAACAGCTCTTTGGCCTTTTGATATTGTTTTCGGGCAATGATTTGTGTCGAATCAAACATGTCTTTCCCGGGACCAAAAGCCACACATTTTTCATTCTGTTCAACGATATGTCATAAATATTTATAAAAACATATTTATAAATTAAAACATTTACCTTTCCGTGACACGTGCTTGTAATGAAATCACACGGAGCGCCTGTATCTATACATCGGGCTCCGGCCGTATTCGGTGTGGAATCGCCTTCATTTGCTTGAGAGAAGATTGCAATAAATGGACCCTATTTTGGAAATTAATGAAAGTATTTGTCGTTTATTTTATTTGTTCAAACTTTAAATACTCTCAAATGTATACCTTTCCGGGCAATTGTCCGGCGTTATAGTCAGACTCCATGAGAAGTGAAGCAAATCCTTTGTTATCACTGCTAATCAATGTGTTTGAATTGTTCATTGAGACACAATGGACGGCGTGCCAGTTGACCATCGCTAACGGCTTATTGTTTAGATCAGTGAACTTTAAGACATTCATTGTTTTGTCGGTATTGTATTTGTATCTAAAAAATAATTTAATTTATAAACATTTTGTTATTACAATTTTGCCAATTGTTTACTCACTTATCTTTTTCTTCTTTGGGATTGTTTTCATAAGCGGCGGGACTTCTATTAGCACTGGAATCGGTCAGTTCTCCTTCACTCCAATAGATATTACCAGGTTTCAGATTATTGTGAGCCCTGTCCACACTCTACCACAATAAACAACATTCAATTATTGTAACCAAATGTTGTAAATCCAAATTATTGTAAACTAATTGTCAAACTTTGTCAAATAGTTAAACAATTATAATATATGGAAAATGTTTCTTACGGTAAGGATTCCGTTGATAATATCCTGATAGCTATCGGTTATAAAGCCTTCAGTTGTAAATATGTAGAGCAGATACTGGAAGAAACCTCCCGGTCCTGAGTGGGTATGCGTTGCGCTGATTAATACATTCTCGTGATGGTAGAGATCCCCGTATTTAGCTTCCAGTGCTTTCACTACCTTTGGGTTAATTAATGCAATTAATAAATTAATATTTTAATGTAAAGCACTGCGTTATTAAATTATTTTCATTATTAATAGTATAAATATTCAAATTTCTCAAAATTAAATTAAATAATTAAAAGGAGTAAATATTAGTATATATTAGTAATGTATACTTCAATTTTGAGAATCTGTGCGATTCCCTGAAGATCTGCTGTGATATACAGTATTCTGTTGCCAATGTTGTCCACCACTACCACAGACCTGCAGAATAGTCTTAGATGTATACCACTAGTGTCCTGACCCAACTTCGCGTAACCCATCTTTGTGTCCATAATTTAAATTGCATTTAAAAAATTACAAAACAATTGACAAAATATTGGGGTTTTATTAAATATAAATTATTAAATACCATATTGATCTCAGCTGCTGGCCCGGTAACATCTGCAATACCAGTGCCGATCTGGTACTGGTCATCGGGTCCTACGGGTGCCGATTGAGTGGAGCCCAACAAAAACAGACAAATACCTAACCATAACATTTTTATGTAAAATATTTGTCAAACAATTGTTAATTAAAATCAATATTAAAGCAATTCGTGGGAATCGCTGTCTTCAAGGAACTGACAAAAAACAAGATTGAATGTCGACTTATATCGCAAATAAAAAAAATTGATAATAAATTCAAGTGGTATTAAATTCTTGTGATTGATTTCATTATCATTAAATGGCTTAATATTATTGTCATAAAATGTTTCGTACATATAATCTTATTTAACGTGTGGTAAACAAATCAATATAACGTTTAGTGCTTTGCAATCAAATCAATATTACAATGCAATGTAATAATTGAATTATATTTTGTTAGGTTTGAAGTCTATAAACGGTTGTTAGCAAAACCTTTGATCTTCAATTTAAAGTGTTTTAATCTTGTTTTTTAGAGATGTGTATTTGAACGATACAACTAACATTATTCAAATTTATTATTTTCAGTTCTTTGACATTGTAAAATTCATATTTTTAGTACAATTGCACAAATCAATGTTATATAACATTTGGTTACAATTTTTCAAACTACATATAGTTTAATGTCGTTAGTGTATATTGTCATGTACATGACTTATAAATAACTCTGTTTTCCTAGAAGTGCTATTGCACTCATATTTGTAACGAAACTATACCTGTATTTCCAGCTAATTATAACTCCTGACCCATTACCTGTACCCCTCAGC